AGAGTACAGGTTTTCAAAATATGACCTGAAGATTCTCTGGATTTCCTCAGTGTCTGTTGTTATGTCCCCCTCTTCATTTCTGATTTTATCAAATTGCATATTCTTTCTTTGCCTTTTGATTAGTTTGGATAAACGTTTGTCTGTCTTGTTGATTTTCTTGAAGAACCTACTTTTTGCTACATTGAATTTTTGGTATGTTTCAACTTTATTGATTTCTGCCCTTGGTTTGATTATATCCTGGCATCTACTCCTCCAAGGTAAGTTTCCTTCTGTTTGTTCTAGAGCTTTCAGTTGTTCTGTCATTTCTCTGGTATGAATATTCTCTAGTTTCTTCATGTAAGCACTTCCAGATATGAACTTTCCTCTCAGTACTGCTTTCAGAGTGTCCCATATGTTTGGGTATGTTGTGTCTTCATTTTCATTGAAGTCTAGGAAGTCTTTAATTTCTTTATTTCTTCCTTGACCCAGGAATGGTGCAACTGTGTGTTGTTCTATTTCCATGAGTTTGTTTTGCACTTTGATTTGTTTTTGATTTCTATCTTTAAAGCATGGTGGTCTGATAAGACACAGGGGATTATTCCATTTTTTTTTGTACCTGTTGAGGTTTGCTATGTTGCTGAGTATGTGATAGATTTTAGAGAATGTTTCATATGGTTCTGTAAAGAAGGTATATTCTTTTGTGTTTTGATGGAATGTTCTATAGATGTCTATTAATCCCAATTGGGTCATAACTTCTGTTAGTTCCTTTGTCCCTTTGTTAAGTTTCTGTCTGGTGGTACTGTCTACTTGTAAGAGTGGGGTGTTGAAGTCTCCCACAATAACTGTGAAGTCTTATGTGTGATTTGAGTTTTAGTAATGTTTCTTTTATTAAAGTGGGTGCCTTTGTATTTGGGACATAGATGTTCAGAATTGAGACTTCTTCCTGATGGATTTTTCCTGTGATGAATATGAAATGACCTTCTTCATCTCTTTTGATTGATTTTACTTTGAAGTCTAATTTGTTAGATATTAGAATTGCTACACCAGCTTGTTTCTTGGGTCCATTTGATTGGAAACCTTTCAAAAACTCTTTACTCTGAGCTAATTTCTATCTTTGAGTTGATGTGTGTTTCCTATATATAGCACAAGCATGAATTATGTCTTTATATCCATTCTGTTAGCCTGTGCCATTTTATAGGCAATTTAAGACTATTAATATTGAGGGAAATTAAGGACCATTGAGTGTTAATTCTCATTTGTTTTTGATTTGTTGTTGTTGTTGGTATCGTGTGTGGATTTACCCTACTTTTTCTTTTGGCTTTTGGTAAAGTGGGATTATCTATTTCCTATGTTTTTCTGAGTGTAGTTAACTTCCTTAGATTGGAGTTTTCCTTCCAGTACTTTCTATAAGGCTGGATTAGTGGCTATGTATTGTTCAAATATGGTTTTGTCATGGAATATTTTGTTTCCTCCATAATGGTGTCAGTGAGAGGGATGACTCCATGCTTCAAGGTTCCCAGAGAAAGAGGGAACCCTGCCACCTGTCGGGCCGCTGAGAGGCATTGGAGCAGCTTCCATATGCTCGCGACGTCTCGGTGCTCTTGGGCGTTAGACTTAGCACTGCCGAGATGATAACGACAGATCCAGATAAAGAAAAACCTCTAAAGGTTTACACTACATTTAAAAATATATGTGGGCTTATGAGAGAAAAAATAACAGGAGGAAATAGAGTAGCCAGTTGTGGTAGCACACGCTGGTAGGATTTGCTGAAGGAAGTAGAGGTAGGCAGATTTCCACAGAGAAACCCTGTCTTGGGGAAAAAAAAAAACAAAAGAAAGTAAAAATAAAGTAATAAAAAAGCCACATAAAGATGGAAAATACACAGAGAATCTGGATACTATATGCCATATTGTTGTCTTTAAATTGTTGGATTGCTGAGGAAAGACTTACTGCTACTAAAATACATTTGATTATAAATGCTGCTAAATTAATCCAACTTATACATTTTAAAAATGCTTTGACTTAAAATCTAAGTTTAAGAACAGGTTACTTAGAAATAAAGGATTTACTTGTGTTTCCACAGAAAATAAAAAGCTATGGATTCCTTTCAGACTAATATGGTTTGATCAAGCAAGACCCCCTAAAGCTGAGATGATACAGCCTTACAGACTACAAAAACAAAGACTTGGTCAGGTTTCTATGTTTTATCATGATCCTAAT